CGGTAATCGTTACATCCCTACTTGCAATATGTTTAAATCTCTGTCACCTAACAACTCGCTTAACAATTCTTTTATATTAGGCATTTTTTAGCTTCTGTCTATTATTTTTTTATTATATTATCAAAATAATCAGATCATATTCTCTAATTCCAAGTGGGCCCCAGATTAAACCTCATCACATAATTTCGAAATCCCATCTTCAATGTATACCAGTATGCAAAAACCAGCATTTGGTATAATGAGCTGATGGAATTGTTTTTTAAAGCAATTTTTTGGGGCTTTTATTGCCTTTATTGGATAGTGACAGCTGAAAACAGACAGGAATGGGGGGCAGAGAGAGGGGATGACAAGCAGCAAAGGGCCGCTGTAGCAACTCTGTACATGGGTCACCAGCTCTACCGACTGAGCTAACCGGGCACCCGCTGATGGCGAAAGATGTGTTTGGTTACCTGATGTCTTCTCTGGTCCACAGGGGTTTTCTCGTAGTGTTCTCACACAGCCATTGTGAACAGTGTCTGCCAAGCGTTTCAGGTCATGTTCAGACTTATCCACAAGCTCAGCATCACGGGCAATAGCATCCAACCTGAGTGAAGAACCAACATGTTCAATATGATGCCAAGCAGACTATGTGGAAGGTTGTTGTTGCTAAGAAAATCGAACGCATCTTACCTTTCCAGTGGTCCTCCAAATTTTTTGTAACTCTTTACAAACCTGTATGTAGTTTACAGAGGTGTTAACAGGAATACGTGAGGAGGAGTAGATAAATAGGCAAAATGTGAAATCAGTTGTTGTATATAATATAATCACCTCCGGATCTCAGCATCACTAAAGCCCTTGATATTTTCTCGTGGAATGGTGCGAGGCCGCCCTCGTTTCTTTGGCCTCTTTCGGTCTGAGGGGGAGTCGCTGTCAGAGCCAGAGTACCTCCTGTTCCTACTCTGCCGGCCCTCGCTAGCGTTAAAGCTTATCTGTTAATACAAGCCAAAAAAAATTCACCTGGAAGTTCAATGAGAACCCAAAACACACCAAACCACTGAACAGTACAAAAATGTAATTTTTTTATTATATTTTGACATGACTACTTGTGTACCTGTTTGGCACAATTTCTCATGCGCGGAAGCAAATAGATTTCCTCCAGCTCCTTCTGCCTCTCCTCCTCCTCCATCCTCCTCCTCTGCTCCTCAGGAATGATGTCGTCCCAACTCCGCTGACTACGTTCAGAGTCAATGTCAATTTCCTCATCCTCTATCACGGAAAAGTTGGCCACCTGCAATGGTAAGGTCAACAACAGGATGATGTTAACTTCTGTGAATATTATTGGTTTTTGAAACAACAAACATTTTCTTTCTCTCTTTCTTTACCTTGAACTGGGAGAGCAGTTCTTCTCCCACCGTGGAGGGTCCAGGGTCATTTTCCCTTGTCTCTGCTCTTTTGAGGATCTCGTCAATGTCCATTTCCTACAGAGCAGAACAAGCCATGACATGCTACTCCAATACATTTCAGAAAACAATATCTACTTACAATTCAGTATATAACTACATACCTGAGGCTCCTGCTCTTCACCCTCTGTCTCTTTGAAAAGCTCCTCAGCACCAAACTTCAAGATGGCAGACAACTCCTCCTTGTTGAATGGTGCAGAACTGTATGTAATAAAAACAGACTCAGGTGAGATAACAAGAAGTAGTATCAGTCTTTGAGAGAAGCACAAATAAATTCAATCATTCAATTTTATTTGTATAGCGCCAATTCATAACAGAAGTTATCTCAGGACATTTTCAAATAGAGCAGGTCTAGACCTGCAAAGAAAAGCTGCTTAGCAGCTCTGTCAATTCAGTTTTATTAAAGAGGAATATAGGAAAAAGTAGAGTGTTGCTTGCCTGGAGGGAGCAGCCCCCGTATGGAGGACAGTTTTCCCTGTGGTGTCCATCCTCTGAATGACAAGGTGGTCCAGCACCATTTTCTTCTTTGCCTTCTCAATGATGTCCTCCTCCACTGAGCCCTTTGTCACCAGACGGTAGATATTCACCTGCCAGTCCATAAGCAAACAGTGAGACAGTGGGACAACACTAGAGATGCTTTGAGTATGGCTAAAAAAGTTATCACATTAATGTGATTATGTATAGTTACTGAAGTACTGCACTTGAACCGTTTTAGTTTAATACTGATGCCTCTATATTAGCTACATAAACAAGCCCATCCGAGAGGAGATTGGCTCTTCCTATACAGTTATTCTCAATCGAAAATCAGTAAAATAAGCTGGTAGAAACATTACATCTTTTGTCCACAGGGGCCGCCAGAATCAAAATAAAATCAACGTTCCTTGTAGGGGCTTAAATTAAAATTTGTTTACCCATGTTCTAGTGGATTTTTTTCTTTGCTTAAATCACACTCAAACTACTGAAATTATTATAATTATTTAGTGATGCACTGATGTGAAAATTGTGGCCAATACCGATAAAATGGTAAATGGACCTGTACTTGTATAGCGCCTTTCTAGTCTTCCGACCACTCAAAGCGCTTTTACACCTACGTGCCACATTCACCC